TAAATAAATACAAAACTTAGTGATTATGTACCTGAGTTTCTGTATTTTATTTATAAGGTGTCCGACACGTAGAACACCAGACTACAGTACGTCTGTCCGTTCTGGGGCTACGGGGTATCCGTGAGAAGGGAAACGATATTCTCTCGATGTTTTTCGTAAAAAAATAGACAACGCGTTCCATCAATAAAAAATCTACAATTTTGCAAGTAGCCAATAAAATGAGTGGGCGGAGCGATTTGCGGTGACGTCTCGTCAAGTCGACGTATAAACCCAAGTAGCATTTATCTGACTTCGAACTAAATCTGACCTGAAGCGACGTCAGACTTTGTGCAAATTTAGGTCGGGTGCTGGTGATGCGACCTGTGACGTCGCTTTCCTATTAAAAGCGACGTCGCTGGATCCGAGTCGGTAAATCCAACGATCTGTCGACGTACAAAATAACAACGTACCATTTTTATTAATTTCCCAACGTCGTTCCCACGTTGGCTTGCACGACGTACATATACTTGAACTAGCCCGACGTCTACCCGTTGTCCGAATAGGATACGTCTTACTGATAATCCCTAAAGTAACGTCCAATTATATTTTGTTGTATTTTATGTTCATATTTATAACCTAATTTACCTATCTCTATTTACGTCGGTAAATACAACCCATTAAGTAGCATTTGCAAATATGCATGATGCATATCATGCATCATGAACATAACCTAATAAAAAGTTTTTGTAAACAAACTTAATTTTTTTATTATGCCTAAAAAACACTAAAAAGGCATTTAGACATTCATCTACATTTTACAGAAAGAGGTCGAGGCTTTGGCAAAATAATAATAGTAGTAGTGATGTCTTGCCTCCACCCGTAAATGCTTTTTATCCGGAAGAGATGCTGCATTACACTGGTGCATCTTAATTTCATTTTTTAGCTTAGGAAACCAGCAGACCCCATCCTCCTCTGACATGTGAGGTTAGGCTTAAAAAAGTGGCTGCCCATTTTTTTTAAGGAGAAAACAAAAACTAAAATATAGTTGCACAAATCCACAAATCACTGATAAACAAAGTGAGGTTACGTGGCGTACGTTGGAATTATATACGTCATAATACGATTGCCGGTCTTCCGGTTTGATGACTTCGGTCGTGTGAGACGACTAATGTTGGAGACCCGGTCGGAATTGGTATATTGGTAGTTCATATTAAGTCGGACTCAGAAATCCGCCATTCTTAACACGTATCCGATTGTCAGCCATTTTAAAATCGTTTTTTGTTTTTAAAATTTATATTAACATTTCGATTTCTAGTAGAATAATATCGATAAGGTTGAGTTTGGGGGGAACCACAGTACAGTTTTATGATTAAACCAGCTAGAAAATAAAAAAAAAATTGTGAGTTACTTTTTTATAGATATTTTTATTTCATAAATCTACCTAATTTTGAAAGCGCTCGTTGTTTTCCGGAGTATTTTAATCAAATATATCAAGAAAGTGACTTCCGTTGACAAAACTGATGTCTGGATTAATGATTCAGAATTACTATAATACGAAATTAGATAGGCACTTATAGTTATATTCGAGGAGTGATTATGAATCCATTTGTAATTAGGTAGTTTGGTTAGGTTTTTATGTATTCTTGGTAGCGAATATGAAACCAAAAATAACGTAAGTGCTTAGCGACGAATTTTAAGTAACTAAAATCCAACGTAATATGACGTTGGTAATTGGTAGAATTACATTCCCTATTAGGTCAGATACCGACGTCGAGGCGACCCGAATCTGTATTCCCCATTTAGGTGCAAATAAGGGTCGTCAGGCGGTCGAACCGACGTTGGTACCCGACGTCGGGTTTATTGAACGCGACGTATACCCGACGTTAGATAACGTCCAAATGCTACTTGGGAAATATATTGCTGTTTATTTAAATGTTTTTTGTCCGCATTCCTTTCATAGACACAGATCCAGCAGATGTACTGTACCTGTTTGTGATACTTGTTACTTCAGTTTTCAAAAAGATTTTCATAATATGCCTTGTGTAATAGGGTGGGTAAAAAAATCAACTATTTTTTTTTCACTTTATACTCTGAAGAAACGGTAGGTAGACGCCTCGTCAAATGCACGTAAAATGCAATAATTGTTTGTTTCAATGCACCCAAACATGCTTAGGACTAAAAAAACTAGAAAAAAAAGTTTAAAACATTTCTTTGTTCATAGAAACTCAAATTTGTACAAATTTTCACGAAACTCATAAAATAAATTGGAATTATTCGAATTATAAATCAAAAACTGTTAAAATTGTACATTGAAGTTTGAAAAGAAGAAAGAATTTATTGGGCAAGTCTACAGTAAGATTAGTCATGAGACATGACTAAAACATGACTACCCGTAGACACTCAGTGTTTCTGCCTTCCGGCTTCGTCAATACGGGAGGAATCAGCAACGATGAACTAGCGATTCTGAAAAAAAAACACTGATTGTCGACGGGTAGTCATGTTTTAGTCATGTCTCATGACTAATCTTACTGTAGACTTGCCCAATAAATTCTTTCTTCTTTTTATTATAGTCTCCACGGTAACATCTTTTGTTTATTGAAATTTGAATATATTTTAAACGGTTAATTTAATCGACTAATCAGTAGAGTTGCGCGTATCATAATGATTTTTTGTTAACGAGTTATAGAATTCATAAGAAAAAAGAAATCTGCCTTAAAATAATCAAACTTCAATCTTTAATAACTTTCGAACGGTGAGGTTTACAAAAAAATTGTAAGAGACCTGTATTTGTAAGTACCGAAAAAGTTGTAAGACCAAAAAAATTGGAAGAGAAAAATTGTAAGAATTGTAAGAATTGAAGAGAAAAATTGTAAGAAATTGTAAGAATTGTAGTTCAATTTCCAACAAATATATTGAGACGAGATATTTCAGCAAGTCAGATTTTAAAGAAAAATGATTCAGGAAGATCTTCCGCAAGTACTTGGGCCTACAACATCCTGAGCAATACACTGGCCATTGTATGAGAAGATCATCCGCTACATTACTGGCAAATGCAGTAGTGAACATGACAACGTTAAAAAGACACGGAGGAGGGCGATCTGCAACAGTTGCGAAAGGATATATCGAAGAGTCCATCAACAATAAAATATATTGCGAAAAAGATTCATGGTGCTGTAAATGTTCCAGAACCAGCCGTTGTAATGACAGAGCATATTTCAAATAGTGGAGGGACAGCGTCTGGAGGCATACAAGGTTTTACAATTTCTGAATCTACAAAAAAAATCATTTTCATTTAATGTTAATGTTAATTTAGTGTTAATATAAATAAATAATTGAATTAGTAATTTATGAATAAAGCTTAATAATTTCTATAAAATTATGTGGCTTTGAAGTTATAACACACTAGTGTCTTATAACTTCAAAAACTCACGCGTGTGTTATTATTTATTTTATATGCATGCATATGTTGGAGGACTAAAAAAACTAGAAAAAAAAGTTTAAAATATTTCTTTGTTCATAGAAACTCAAATTTGTAGAAATTTTCCCGAAACTCATAAAATAAATTGGAATTATTCGAATTATAAATCAAAAACTATTAAAATTGTACATTGAAGTTTGAAAAGAAGAAAGAATTTATTGGGCAAGTCTACAGTAAGATTAGTCATGAGACATGACTAAAACATGACTACCCGTAGACACTCAGTGTTTCTGCCCTTCCGGCTTCGTCAATACGGGAGGAATCAGCAACGATGAACTAGCGATTCTGAAAAAAAAAACAAAAAAACACTGATTGTCGACGGGTAGTCATGTTTTAGTCATGTCTCATGACTAATCTTACTGTAGACTTGCCCAATAAATTCTTTCTTCTTTTTATTATAGTCTCCACGGTAACATCTTTTGTTTATTGAAGTTTGAATATATTTTAAACGGTTAATTTAATCGACTAATCAGTAGAGTTGCGGGTATCATAATGATTTTTTGTTAACGAATTATAGAATTCATAAGAAAAAAGAAGTCTGCCTTAAAATAATCAAACTTCAATTTTTAATAACTTTCGAACGGTGAGGTTTACAAAAAAATTGTAAGAGACCTGTATTTGTAAGTACCGAAAAAGTTGTAAGACCAAAAAAATTGGAAGAGAAAAATTGTAAGAATTGTAAGAATTGAAGAGAAAAATTGTAAGAAATTGTAAGAATTGTAGTTCAATTTCCTACAAATATATTGAGACGAGATATTTCAGCAAGTCAGATTTTAAAGAAAAATGATTCAGGAAGATCTTCCGCAAGTACTTGGGCCTACAACATCCTGAGCAATACACTGGCCATTGTATGAGAAGATCATCCGCTACATTACTGGCAACTGGCAGTAGTAAACATGACAACGTTAAAAAGACACGGAGGAAGGCGATCTGCAACAGTTGCGAAAGGATATATCGAAGAGTCCATCAACAATAAAATATATTGCGAAAAAGATTCATGGTGCTGTAAATGTTCCAGAACTAGCCGTTGTAATGACAGAGCATATTTCAAGTAGTGGAGGGACTGCGTCTGGAGGCATACAAGGTTTTACAATTTCTGAATCTACAAAAAAAATCATTTTCATTTAATGTTAATGTTAATTTCAATAAATAACTGAATAATAGTAATTTATGAATAAAGCTTAATAATTTCTATAAGATGATGTGGCTTCGAAGTTATAACTCACGAGTGTGTTATTATTTATTTTATATGCATGTATACATGTGAGTAATGTCTGTATAAGTAGTGGCTATTAGATAAATAAATTTACGATACGATTACGATCCAATATACTTTTATAACACAAAAGTATAATTAGAAATATATGAATACTTTAAGCAATTTATTACCTTTCCTACACCATCGGTTCCAACTATAACAAGAAGAGTTGTTAAATTTGAAATTTTGGCTTCAAAATTTATAGTCCCCAGTTCGCCAGATAGTTTTACGGTGTAACGGCCGACCCCCGACATATTTTAACTCAATAGAACATTGGAAACTTACCTGGCGGCCCGTAACAGACCTATTCCGCTCTCGTATTCCCCATTCCGCAGCTTCCTCTGGATATTTTTCATGGCCTCGGTTCTGCAAAAGAAAAAGAAAACAAAACATAAGATGTTTAGTATGTAGGACGTGTAAAATATACATGAAGCATTACAATCGTGAAATGGCATGAACACAATATTTTATGTATACAAAAAAATCGTTTCGGTTTATTTTATGACTGTGAATAGGATTAAAGAAAAAGGTGTATAAAATATTTCGCAAAATAGAAATATTAAGAAAAAAATCACAAAAAATATTTTTTTTTCAAACGTCACAAAAGTATTAATTTTTGAGACGCGATGTTGATTAAAATTACTTTTTTATATTGCCAAAAAAAAATCATATTAATGCCTAGGCATAACAGTAAAGCACTTCTATGCCCTATGTCATTGCCTGGAAACTTATATGGTGAAATGTTGATAAAATAATTTAGTACAAACTAAAAACACGGTATGTCGCTAGTGGTAGGAAAAATAATTTTTAGAGGTTACTAGTTTATTTGGTTGCCTGTGATATGCATATACAGGGTGTTTCCTAATTAATCTAAAAAACAAAAAATCATTAGAAAACGAATTAAGGTGGGCTCTTAATAAGTATATTTATTTTTTTCTCGACAACCGTTTGATGAACAAGAAAAACTCAAAAGATCCATTTTGTTGAAAAAGGATGGCCAGTAAAGAAAAAAAATATATTTTATTATATAACTTAATTCTCCTGTTAATTTCTGGTAATAGAGATCCAGAGCTGTGTATTAGTTGCCCAAAATATATATAGTCTTCTACTATTTCCAGTGTTGTGTTATTTACTAAAATGTCTTTTCTGTCTACCAGTTCGTTATACATTACTTTAGTTTTTGCTAAATCAATTTGTGACCTACTTTATTTCTGGTTGTATTTCATTCGTTAATTTGTGCTTGTTCTTCTTCAGGACTATTGGCAATTAGGATTGTAATCAGAATCTTAAATGGTTAAGATATTCTCGTCTTTTCTCTCATAAATGTGAAGCAGTCACATCCAAACTTTGTAAATTAAAATAAACAAAAATTATAAATATGAATTTTTCAAATGAAGAAAAGCGTGTAGAATTATTGGTTGAACTTTTCTTGACCATACATTTTCGAGGATACGTTGACCGGTGAATGTTACGTTTTTTAGAGAACGGTTTTCAAGACATGTTAGAAAAGTTAAATTTAATTATAGCGAATTCTTATCTTTCTTGGCTAATTTCACTTAGATTGCATGGTATTCTTATTCTGTTATGATTTATAACTTATAAAAAGTCAGAATATATTACTAAACGGTTCTTTACAATTTACATTACACAAACTAAAACTTAAAAAAGTAATATCACTACATACACTTTAAGTTATTTTAGAAAATGTTAAAAAAATCCGCCATTGTTTTGAGCTGCATCTTTTTAAAACTGAATATCTTTGATTACTACCTTTGATTACTACCTTTGACTACTACCTATTCTCACGGAAGGACCGGTCGACTTAATTAAACTTTTCTCGTACCGCCACTTCAAGTGCCTCTCTTAATTCATAATTTCTTTTGTAAACCTTATTGTTAACTATACCGCATAAGAAATTCTAAAATGGATAGGTCAGGTGATCGAGGAGGCCCATGCAATTTTTAACATTTCTTTCATTATGGGGGTGATGTGTCATAATGAAAGTCATGTTGGAACCACTCTATTGATGTGCGAGATCTACACGCTTTTCTTCATTTGAAAAATTCATATTTACAATTTTTGTTTATTTTAATTTACAAAGTTTGGATGTGAGAGCTTCACATTTCTGAGAGCAACGGCGATTGAACTTGTTTCCATGGCTAATTAAGTAAAATTGTTTAAAAATTATAAGAATTGGCTATAATTCAGTAATTTTTCAAAGAAAAGATATTATAGCTTATATCACTAAAAAGCTTAAAAAATGGCGCCTTTTATGAAGTCATGGCCAACTATGGTTTCCATTTAAAAAAACATATGTTTGTGTCATATGTCAAAAATGACAAGCTTTAGAAAAAAATGGAGGACACAGTCTCATTAAGGATGTGATTATCTACAACTTTTATCTGAAAACTTTTTGTCTAAAATAGCTTATAATGGAATTAGGGACAATTTTTAAAAGAGCCGAAATTTGTTTTTTTCGAAATATCTAGTAAGGCATGAACTTTTTCAAAAATCTGAAAGGCGTATATTTATGACCCCACAAAACTGCAATTCTTTCCCCATTTAATCGACTCTATCTCCAGTAGTTTCCGAGATACCTATCGAAAACATCGTAGGAAACTCACCCTGTATATCGTTACACTTGCTTTAGCTTCCTTGCATATATTGGCGAGAGTTTCTATAAGACCTGCCAGGGACAAATATGAACTAAATTATCCAATTAAACGACACATTAAACGAACAGAATAAGAATATGAGAGCAAGCAAACGCGGAAAACTCTTTTAATTAACATAAAAAGCAACAAACTCATGCCAACGCGAGCACACATCAAAGCCGGGGAAAACTTATTTGACGCGACAGTTCCGCCGCAAGTACATTTAATTAAAAAACACCGAAGGAAAATTTAGCAGAATCCGAACGGCAAAAAATAAATTAATTCAGAACAAGGTCAGGCTAAACCTTTCCTTTTTTAATTAATCACATTTTAGAAAACCACCTTAATAAATAACAATGCGGTTAAAGAAAAAGCTTGTTGACTGTTCTAAAATTGAATTTAAGGCCACTTTTATAAAGTGGAATATAATTAAAGAATTTTTCAAATAAAAATAATTAATTTTTCTCAAACGCAATTAATATTAAAGGAAGTGTTATATTTAGAAAAGTATATAAATAAACTATTAATATAACGAATCATTTAATGGTGGGTTCATACAGCCAAATAAAATAAAATAAGAATAAAATAAAATAAGAAATAAGGAATTCTTATTTGTGTGCGTTCATACAGTCAAATAAAATAAAATAAGAAATATATATTTGCTCATGCGCAGTACGATGAGGCTGGATAAAAGTTAACTTTTACGATTGTTTATAGTAATTTTACTATTTATAGTATATTTATTTATTCGTTGCCTACTATATTATACATTTTACTTATGTGAAATTAAAAAATAAATTAAATCCAAACTGAAAATATTTGTAGGTTAGAATTAAGCGTGCGCAAAGCCGTTTTCACATAAAATAAAACAAGAAGTTAAAAGATAAAGACTTCTTATTTTATTTGTTATTTTATTTGGCTGTATGAACGCATGTACGGTATCCCATATAACCAACTTTCTTATTTTATTTTATTTTATTCTTATTTTATTTTATTTGGCTGTATGAACCCACCATAAGACTTTTCCTTAGAGGCTACTATTACACTATCAAATTTCTTTGTCAAAGATTTTATTTCAAAAATTATTTTATAAAGAATTTGACAATTTTATAAAAACATTGTCAAATTTTCAAAATCATTTAAAAGATATTCTTTTTTGTAGATTTCCTGCTGTAGAATACCAACCACCCGGTTGTGCCTGTCCAGATAATGCCGCGGTGCAAAATATGTACATCCAAAGCAGATTTGTTGAATTGTTTTCGGAAAGGTATTGCATAGTCAGCATCTGTCATTAGGTAAGTCCTTTTTGGCTATTATTTTTAGAACAATTTTAGTTGGTATTTGCTGGTCTTGTATAGCTATAATAAATCCTTCGGTCTCAGCTCTGAGCTCTCCATCTTTGAGAAAACGTAATGACAAATTTCGGTCAACGTCGGGGTTAGATAAGTTGGATGGATATCTTCCGTGTAAGGCTTTCCCTTTCCAGTCATCGGTTAGTTCCTCAATACCCTCAGTACCTGCAGGCAATCTTTGACTTGCTAAGTTTAAAGGTGTCAAATTCCTGTCGGCGGTCTTAATAGCTGAAAGGAGAGGATTACAGTTGAAGGTTGGAGCTTTTGGTGTTACACAGCAAAATAAAAACACTAAATCACCACTATACACCATAACAATTTTACTTTTACACTGGACGCGCGTTTCGCTAACCATGTTAGCATCATCAGCAGATGATTATAAACTAAAGCACAATCTACAAGTTGAGCGTTTATATACTCGCTCAGTGGGCACCGAGTGGGCGTGGCAAAATCTAGCCAACCGAGTCAGAGCCCACTGAGCGTAACAGTTTCCGCCACTAGAGTAGTAGGAACAAAGAACTTGAAGGAATTGGACAGTTGTCTCTGTTCATACTATCTTTATATTTATTAATTCTGATGCTTTCATATGCATCTAATTGCCTGTAAATTGAGACTTGTTTAATTAATTTTAAATTATTAAGATCTATACAATGTTCTTTATCAACAATGTTCGGCAACGCAAGATTTATCCGGTCTACCATATCTTATCTGAGCTAAATGTTCTTTAAATCTAGTTAATATTGATCTTCTAGTTTGCCCAACATATTTCTGATTACAATCTTTACAAGAAATTTCATAAATACCTGACCTTTCCAGTGGAGGTGTTTTATCCTTTGGATTGCCTAATAATTGTTGTAATTTATTATTAGCACTATACACAAGTTTATAATTGACATTCTTAAAAATTCCTTTTAGACCACGGGATAACTATCAAACGGTATCGAAAAATATTTAGACGTATCTTTCTCCACTTGAAAAGTCGAATTTTCAGAAATCATTAACCTATACCTACGTTTTCTAATTAATATATCAACTAGTGAAGGAGAATATCCATTACACTCAGCTACATTCCTAATGTAATCTCTTTCTATTTCATATCTTTCGTTGGAAAGTGGGAAACTAAGTAATCTATAAACTAAGAAATTTAAACTAGCCATTTTATGTTCAACACTATGATGTGATTCATTAGGAATATATCTGGGTGTGGTCGTATTTTTCCTATAGATATCAAATTCCAGGCAATTATTAGTATTTCTAATAACTAATACATCTAGAAATGGTAATCTGTCGTTGTTCTCAATTTTATGCGTAAATTTAATGGAAGGAAAACGATTATTTAACTTAGTTATCTATGGTGTCT